GGCTCTCGGGTGGCTGTCTTCTCGCTGTGTTCTCACTTGGTCCTCTAAATGCACAAAGGAAAGTGGCCGATTTTCCCCTTTTTGTAAGGACACCCAGTCGTATTGGATTAGGGTCCACCTGAAAGGCCTCGTTTTAACTTAATTGCCTCTTTAAAGACTATCTCAGCTGGCCGTGGTGGCTCACACCTGTAATCCCAGCACTTCGGGAGGCCGAGGCAGGTGGATCCCAAGGTCAGGAGTTCAAGACCAGCCTGACCAACATGGTGAAACCTTGTCTCTACCAAAAATACGAAAATTAGCCAGGCGTGGTGGTGGGCACCTGTAATCCCAGCTACTCAGGAGGCTGAGACAGGAGAATTGCTTGAACCTGGGAAGTGGAAGTTGTAGTGAGCCAAGATCATGCCACTGCACTCCAGCCTAAGCGACAGAGCAAGACTCCATCCAAAAAAAAAAAAAAAAAAAAAAGACTATCTCAAAGGACAGCTGCATTCTGAAGTACTGGGGGTTAGGACATCCACAAATGAATTTGGGGAGGGACACAGTTCAGCCCAGGACACTGAGGTTTCAGCTTTCCCCAGAAAATTCCCAACGGAAGCTAAGAACTAAATCATTCACTTGACCGTGAGCAAACAGCCATCACATGGCCACCCCAGCGTCTCATTCATCATTCATCCAGGCAACTGTCAACTGTGCTCTTTTCCTTTTTTTTGAGTCAGAGTCTCGCTCTGTCACCCAGATTGGAGTGCAGTGGTGTGATCTCAGCTCACTGCAACCTCCACTTCCTGGGTTCAAGCAATTCTACTGCCTCAACCTCCCGAGTAGTTGGGATTTCAGATGCCCACCATCACACCAACTCATTTTTGTATTTTCAGTGGAGACAGGGTTTCACCATGTTGGCCAGGCTGGTCTCGAACTCCTGACCTCAAGTGATCCACCCACCTTGGCCTCCCTAAGTACTGGGATTACAGGTGTGAGCCACCACGCCCGGCCTGTATTCATTTCTTAGGGCCACTCTAGTAACTGCTCACAAATGTTGTGATTAAAGCAACTGAAACTTCTAGCCTCTAGGTCTGGAGAGTGGAAGTCCAAGATCAAGGTCTTGGTAGGGTTGCTTCCTTCTGAAAGCTCTGACAGAAAATCTGTTCCTCCCATGCCTCTTCCCTGCCCGCTATCCTTCATCGGTCCCTCTCTGCCCGTGTCATCCTGTCCCCTACTTTTTTTCTTTTCTTAATTGAGACAGAGTCTTGCTCTCTTGCCCAGGCTGGAGTGCAATGGTGTGATCTCCACTCACTGCAACCTCTGCCTTCCAGGTTTAAGCGATTCTTCCTGCCTCAGCCTCCTGAGTAGCTGGGACCACAGGTGCTGGCCGCCCTGCCCAGCTAGTTATTTTGTATTTTTAGTAGAGATAGGGTTTCACCATGTCTGCCAGGCTGGTCTGAAACTCCTGACCTCAGGTGATCTGCCCACCTCGGCCTCTCAGAGTGCTGGAATTCTAGGCATGAGCCACCGTGCCCGGACCATGTCCCCTACTTCTTTGTGTCTGTGTGGTGTGTCCTTTTCTGTCTCTTCTGTGGACACCTTATTATTGGATTTAAAGCCCTCCCTAACCAGGATGTGCTCATCTTGAGATACTTACCTTACATTAATTACATCTGCAGAAAGGCCGGGCACGGTCTCACACCTGTAATCCCCGCACTTTGGGAGGCCGAGGCGGGTGGATCACTTGAGGTCAGGAGTTTCAGACCAGCCTGGCCAACGTGGTGAAACTTTGTCTCTACTGAAAATACAAAATATTAGCCAGGTATGGTGGCATGGGCCTGTAGTCCCTTTTACTCAGGAGACTGAGGCGGGAGAATCACTTGTATCTGGGAGGCAGAGGTTGCAGCGAGCCGAGAGTATGCCACCGCACTCCAGCTTGGGTGACGCACACACAAAAAAAGAAAGAAAAGAAATGGACGTTGCTTTAGCCCTCCCGACCGTGTTCTGTTACACAGCCCTAGTGGGCGACAGGGCAAGACTGTCTCAAAAAAAAAAAAGAAAAGAAAAAAATTACATCTGCCTAGACCCTTATTCCAAATGAGGTCACACTCTGAGGTTCTAGGTGGACATATCTTTGGGGGCCGCCTTTGAACCCACATCAGAGACCTAGAGAAGATGTCAGCTCTCCCGGATGCCAGTGGCCTCAGAGTCCTTTGGGAGCCAAGGCCCCCAGGAAGGATCAGCACTGGGGGACCCAAGTCCTTCAGGAGGCCCAGCCCAGCAAGGCAAGAAGCCCCAAGGAGCCCACCCAGCCCGGTGAGGAGAACACAGGAGGGCCTTGTGGGATGGGGAGTTCGCGGAGCCAGGCAGCAAGAGCGAGGAACGGTTTGGGCAATCCAGCCTGAAGGCAGAACTTGAGTAGGTCTTACTCCGAAGGAGGAGTGGAATGGAGGCTCGGGTAACAGCCCCATCCTGCTCTGTTTCCACGCCGTGTCCCACAAGGCAGCTTCACCACCTGCACATAAACTGTGAACTGAAACTGGGCCAGCGCAGCCCGACAGAACCCCCCAACAAGGCGCTCTCAGGCGACAGGCTCTGTCTATAGTCCAAGGCTTCCTGGAAGGGCCCGAGTGGTTTCCAGGCCTCTGACCCTCCCAGGCACAGAGGCCCACAGGGCCCTACTCTAGCACAGCGCCCTACATCCATCATTTCATGGAGAAATCACCTGAAACTTCCCTTGCTCCCACCCCCCCTCATTCCTTACTGTGTATCAGACCAGGTGGGGTGGACCTCCCAGAGACAGGATCCTCATCTGCCAGCATGCACGCAGGCCCTTATTTCTTTTTTTCTTTCTTTCTTTGAGACAGGGTCTCACTCTGTTGCCCAGGCTGGAGTGCAGCAGCACGATCTCGGTTCACTGCAACCTCCGCCTCCCGGGTTCAAGCAATTCTCCTGCCTCAGTCTCCCAAAGTAGCTGGGACTACAATTACTTGCCACCACGCCTGGCTAATTTTTGTATTTTTAGAAGAGGCGAGGTTTCACCATGTTGGTCATGCTGGTCTCAAACTCTTAACCTTGTGATCCACCCACATTGGCCTCGCAAAGTGCTGGGATTACAGGCATGAGCCAACACGCCCAGCCTAGGCCCTTCTTTCAAATAACTATGCTGCACATTTCTTCGGCCCAGTACTGCCCTACACATTTCATCTCCTGATCACCTCATTTCATCCTCTAAAAACCCCTATGCAGTGGGTAGCATGCTTGGTTTTCTGGTGGTGGTGGTGGTTGTTTGAGACAGGGTCTTGCTCTGTCACCCAGGCTGAAGTGCAGTAGCGTGATCATGGCTCACTGCAGCCTCCAACTCCTGAGCTCAAGTGATCCTCCTGCCTCAAAGTAGCTGGAACCACAAGTTCATGCCACCACATCTGGCTAATTTTTCTTACTTTTGTAGAGACAAAATATGTTGCCCGAACCAGTCTCAAGCTCATGGGCTCAAGCAATCCACCCACCTTGGCCTCCCAAAGTGTTGGCATGACAGGCGTCAGCCATGGTGCCCAGCCAAATAGGTAATCCCCATTCTACAGATGAAGAAACTGAGGCTCAGAGAGGCCCACTGACTTGTCCAGGAGCAGCAGCCAACACTGGTCCCCAGGCTGAGGCTCCGGGTCCAGTGCCCTGTGACACACAGCTGGCACCTGGGGCTAATTCCTCTCCTGGGTGAGCAGAAGTAGCAAATGTAAGAAGCTATGTTTGCTCATTTCTGCTTGAGCAGATTCACAAGCCCCTGACTCTGTGACAATGTGCAGCTCTCTGGAGGGTTGCTTTGGAGACAAAACAGAATAGAGCACGTGGCCGTGTGTCTCTTGTGTGACTCACTACATTCCTTGAAAGATAAATAGCCCCAACCTTGCTTTTTCCTACACAAAAGATACTATCTGGTGGGCTGAGTGATTCTGCGTATATGATTGATTCAGTAGATGTGCTTTAGGCATCTGACACCCAGAGCGTGGTGTGATTTTGCACGTACTGCAGCTTCACCACCTGCACATAAACTGTGAACTGAAACTGGGCCAGCGCAGCCCGACAGAACCCCCCAACAAGGCGCTCTCAGGCGACAGGCTCTGTCTATAGTCCTAGTATAACTTCTCAATAGGCCGGGCACGGTGGCTCATGCCTGTAATCCCAGCACTTTGGGATGCTGAGGCGGGCAGATCACGAGGTCAGGAGTTCTAAGACCAGACTGGCCAACATGGTGAAACCCTGTCTCTACTGAAAAATACACAACTAGCTGGGCATGGTGGTTCATGCCTGTAATCCCAGCTACTCAGGGGGCTGAGGTAGGAGTATTGCTTGAACCGGAACCCGGGAGGCAGAGGTTGCAGTGAACCGAGACTGCGCCAGTGTGCTCCAGCCTGGGCTACAGAGTGAGATTCCATCTCAAAAAAAAAAAAAAAAAAAAAACTTCTGAATAAAAAGAACTCTAAGGCTTTTGTTTGTTTTTGAGATGTGATCTTACTCTGTTGCTCAGGCTGGACTGCAATGTGGTGATCACCCCCCACTGCAGCCTCAGACCTCCCCCTGGCTCAGGCGATCCTCCCACTTCAGCCTCCCAGGTAGCTGGGACCGCAGATGCATGCCACTGTGCCCGGCTAATTTTTTGTATTTTCCGTAGAGATGGGGTTTCATCTCTGCATGTTGCCCAGGCTGGTCTCAAACTCCTAGGGTGAGGCGATCCACCAGCTTCAGCCTCCCAAAGTGCTGAGATTACATGTGTAAGCCACTGCACCTGGCTCCAACTCTAATTCTTCAGAAGCTTTTTATTTTCTTCAGTGACACCTGGGAAACTTCCACAGGAGTCGGGGGTATTTGTCAGAATTTGCTGGGAATGGGATGGAGGGGCAGCTGGGTCTCCCTTGAGGCTGGGGTGTTCTATAACCCTCAACC